GCGAGGACTACCGCTGGGCAGAGATCCGCACCTGGCCCGGCTTCGACCGCGGTTGGGAGGTCTTCAATCTGCTCTTCATCTGCGGGTGCCGCGCTGCCCTCGCCAGATACCCGCGCGTCGCGGCGTCGCCATACATGCCCCTGCCACCGCCTCTCACACCGCCTCGCTGCTTCACCAAAGCTCGGTGACGCCCCTGCCCTCGCCGCGGAAGCTCGGTGACGCTACCCTCGCCGGGGACACCGCCTCTCACCCCCGCCCTCGGTGACGCCTAGGTTCCAGCAGCTCGTCATCCTCGCCTTCTCGTCGCCCGCGGCGGCGGCGGCCAGCTCGGACGTGCCGCTCAACGCACTCGACGCCGCGGCGACGGCGCTCTACCTCTTGCTGCTCGCGGGCGAGGCGACGGCAGACCGGCAGATGATGCGCTTCCAGACGGAAAAGTACCGCCGCCTGCGCGCCAAGGAGCCGCTCGGCGCCGAGTTTGGCCGCGGTTTCCTCTGCTCGGGCCTGTGGCGCTACTCGCGCCACCCAAACTACTTTTGCGAGGTTGCGATCTGGTGGGCCTTTTACCTCTTCTCGCTCGCCGCCGGGTGGCCGACTCGGGCGACGGTACAACGCCGCCGGCAGGACACGTCCCGGACATGTCCTGGACGCGTCCTGTAGGCTGCCGCTCGTCAACTGGACCATCTCGGGCGCGGCATTCCTCACTTGCCTCTTCGTGCTGCCGCACGCCTCGCTCGACGTCACCGAGGTCCTCTCCTCGCGAAAGTACCCGCAGTACGCAGAGTATCAAGCGACCGTCTCGCGCTTCTTTCCACTGCCGCCGCTGCCTGCCGGCGAGCGAGCGCCGATGCGACCCGTCGACGCGGTCCTCATCGGCTGGTTCTGCGTCGGCCTCGCGGTCACTTTCTTTGTCGACATCGAGGCTGTCCTCGTGCAGCGGCCCGACCTGTACGGCCTCGACGCAGCGCACACGCCGCTGTGGCCGCCAGAGCCGTGCGTCCGCGCCGTCCGGTGGTGGAGTGCCGCCGACCCGCTGATGCACGCGCGGCCGGTCTGGTTCCGAGCTGCCATTTGGGTCGAGGTGCTGGTGCAGGCGCCCTTCTACGCCGTCGCCATCTACGCCTTTGTGCGGCAGCGCAGCTGGGTCCGCGTGCCCGCCATCGTGTACGCCACCGTCCTGCTCACCATCATGCCCATCGTCCTCGCGGAGCAGTACTTCGGACCCCACGCCTCACGCCGCCCGCTCCTCGTCACGGCCGTCTACGGCGCCTACGTCCTCATGCCGGTCCTGCTTCTCGTGCGCGTGTGGAGCGTGGACGTGTTCCCGAGCACGCCGCTCGCCAAGCGCAAGGCGGCGGGCCTGGCTGGCGGTGAGGCGGCGGCGCCAGCCGCACGGCGAGTCCGCTCGCCGGCGAGGAAGCGGGCGTGAGCCTGCCCGGGGCGCGCAAAATTTTAACTCCGACCATGCCACTTTTTGACATCATCATCAACCATCATCACAGCATGTCTCCGCGAGAGGGATTTCAAATAGCCGATGGGATGTAACGTGTGGTTTTCATAGATCAATCATTGGCCGATTAGTCGTGAACCCCGGCTCCCCGGCACGAGAGGGCGGCACACGCACAGCCACACAGCCGGGTCAGCGCGCACAGCAGGTGGGGGAGCCCCGTTCGAGGCAGCCCGTTCCGGAGTGCGGAGAGCTGAGTTCATGCGAGAGTTCGAACGACTAACGACCCTTTTTCCCTATGTACCGTGTGGCACAGGGGCAACAACTAAACAAAAATCTCTCTCAGGGGCCGCACGCTCCACGCAGACAGATCTCAAACTTCGCTTATACCTTCTCGCAGCTGCGAGACGAGCTTTCTCGGAGCGACAGCCTCAAAGTAAAAAGGGAAGGGTGGCGAGGAGGAGACTCAGCGCCGCAGCATCTGACCTCGATACTAACAAAGAGGTACGTAGGTAGAAAGGTGAAGAACAGCCAGGCTCGGACTGGCAACGCGGTATGGGTGAACGCCGGACAGATGATGACGACACGCACGACAACAAAAATGGGGTACCGTCCCCGAGCGAGTGACGGGTAATCGTGGCCGTGGCCAAGAAAATCAAAATATTAAGCTCTCTGTTTGGACCACGGTGAAAAACTCGACGGTTTTGGGCGTTTCAGAGCACGCTGAATCGATTGGCTGAGCTATAATTCTCGCCAGCCCTTTCCTTTCATAATTATTGACTCAAAACTCGATGATCGCGCGACTTTGGAGCCGTTATAGCTCAGCCAAAACGTTCCTCTCGAAAAATTGACTTAGGAAGCCGCAAACGGCAGCTTCTGAAAGACTCACCGGCGCTTATTCTCTTGATCTTTCAAAACCTAGGCCTGCGGCCAAAATTTTCTAAAGGCCGCTGCGCGGCCAGCGCAATGCGCAACCAGTCAGCGACCGACAGTCAGCAGCAGACTGTGACGATTGGCGGCCTCGCGCCCTCAGTCGACCTCCTCTACCAACTCCCCTGCCCAGCCCATATGCCTCATCCACGGTGGCGCAACCACTCGCGCAGGGAGAGAGAGAAAGTCGGCGATCTGCGCCGTGCAGATGAGCTCCGCCTCGTCTGCGTCGAGGACGCCCATCGCAGGGCTGTCATATAGCGCCATTGCATAGGATTTTAAGTTACTGGGAGAATAGGTAGGTAGAGCATGCGTGTTCTTTCTCTTACTTATCCCCTGGAAGGTCCTATACGCGCGGCGTGAGGGTGCACCTGCACTCTGCCTTGCCATTAACATAGTTAGACTATAAAACTCGCTTTCTTTGCACTTTGCAAAGGGGGAATCTGGTCCTGTCCGCGCGGGCGTTTTTCTTCTTCGAAGCGACAGGACGGCCAACTCTCTGTCCTCCCATGCTCGCCGCCGCCCCTCCCTCCCTTCCCATCGCACCGGGCGTGAGCCTCCCTTACGTATCTCTCGGGACCGGCTCCGGCATCCACCATCCGGGTGTCAACGTGACGGATGCGGTCACAATGTGGCTGCGAGCGGGCGGCGCCGCCATCGACACCGCCTACGACTACGGCACGCAGCGGCTCATCGCCAAGGGCGTCGCCGCGGCGGGTCCCGCCACCACCGCGCCCTTCCTCACCACCAAGGTTCCCAGCAGCAGCTACGAGAAGGCTGCCGCCCACATCGACGCCGACCTCTCAGAGCTAGGCGTGGCGGCGGTAGACCTTCTGCTCATCCATTTCCCGTCGCTTCGCATGGAGAGCACGTACGACACGTGGCGGGCGCTGGAGGACGCCTACCTGGCGGGAAAGGCGCGCGCGATCGGCGTCTCCAACTTTCAGGCCAAGCACTTTGAGGCGATGCGCGTGCGCAAGCCGCGCGTCTGGCCGCCCGCCCTGAACCAGGGCTCCCTCTCGGTCGGGTACCGCGACGAGGCCACCCTCGCGTACTGCAGCCGGGCGGGGATCGGCTACATGGCCTACTCGCCCCTCTGCGGCGGGCCGAACGGCTCCTCCTGCCGACACGGCTCGGTCCTGGCGATCCCAGAGGTCAAGGCGGTGGCGGCGGCGCACGGCGTCTCGGCCGCGCAGGTGGCGCTCAAGTGGATCGTGCAGCAGAAGCGGCCCCTCGCCACCGCCGTCTGGCGAGCCGACTTTATGAGGGAGGACCTCGACCTGTGGTCCTGGGGCGCGCTGAGCGACGCAGAGATGGAGGCGCTGAGCGCGGTGCACGAGCGGGCGCACGCCGCGGCCCGAAGGGATTGAGAGGGCCTCTCCCCTCCCCCACGGCCACCGCCACAGGCTGGGGCCTAGTAAGAAAGAATGTGACAGAAGACGGCGAGGTTGGCTTTTGGAGAGTGCAGTTGGCAACCCGCTCAGCCGTAGGGCATGGGTAGGGGGTGCACAGCGCCCCAAAATCCACCAGTGTGGGATTTCGCGCAAAAATTTGACTCTGAATAGCTCGCAATGTACCTTTCTGAGCGCTGTGGTCGCCGCAGACTGGCTCCGACTTGACGGCGGCATGGAGGCATGATGCCTCCATGCCACCGTCAAGTCGAAATCGACATGCAGCTCGATGGTTTGCCCGAAAAGGTACATCGCGGCGTTTTGGGCGACAACAGCGCTGCGACCGCGAAGTGGCGGTGGACATGCTCCCATGTTGCCGACGCGGCGCCGGAGTGGCCGGCGCTGCTCGCCGCGACCACGACGGCTACTCTGATGCTCCGGGCCGACCCGTCCTACCCGACGGTGGCACTCTTCCACGTCTCGCTCACGCTGAGAAAATTCTGAAACGGCGTGCAGCAGAGTCGCCGACGAGTTGGTCCGCGTGCCTCCTCGCATCCCGTACCGTTCTCACACATCCACAAACTCACTTTGGCCCCACTGAAGCGATGCCTCAATCCTGAATCCTGAGATTTTAGATTGGGACGCTGTGTGCACCCCCTAGCATGGGGTGATGGGGTCACCGGAGTGAGAATTTGTATGAACTCGGGGGCACGGGACGCGGCACAAACGCGAAACGGGGGGCACAAACGCCACACACACAGACATACTCACAAACGCCAAGAATCTCTCTCTCTCAAACGCCAGGCTACAAACAAACACGGGGAGGCAAGTAGTTCGTAGTGACGCAAGGCCAAGGGAGTCTAGGCGACGGTGGCGTCCTCCGACCAGCGAGACACTTGGAGCACTTTGAGTGCAGTCGGTAACCTCACATCCAGGGCCGAGGAGCTAAGAAGCGCACCCAGCGGGCCGGATGGTCGGTATCGGTCGGGCTACGGGCTAGAGAGCCCTGACCCCTAGGGGGAGTGCGCGTTCGCAGGGAAAGGGCTGTAAAGTAAACACGGGTCTCCGAGGGTTAGTTCCGTGTACCGGGTTTCCCCTTAACTGCAGAACGCCCCCTCTACTCGGAGCCAACGAACACAGCCAAGGCCGATTTTTCTTCAACAGACGATTGCCGCTTTGCTGACCGGCGGCCGCGCGCGCGCGCGCTCTGCGTTCTCTTCTCGACGGCGAGGATGTCAGCCACACCAGAGTCTTCACACGTATCATTCGACTCACTCCTCAAGCGGGCTCGCGAGAACGACGCGGCATCCAGAGCCGCCGCGGCCACAGAGTACCGGCTGCGGGCGACGGTCCTGCTCGAGTCGGGCGCGCACGCAGAAGGCCTGCACCGAACCCTCTGGCAAGGGGCGCTCACACCAACCCTCGTGGACTTGGCCGGGCTGTGCGCACTTTACACCGGAGCCGTGGCGCCGATTGACGCGCCGCCGCCGACCATGGAGGAGCTCTCGCAGTGCAGCGCGCTGCGGGGCTTCGCGCACCAGCTGCGTGAGGCGCAGAGGCCGGCGGAGCTGCCTCCCGCAGATGGCACGCCATCGTCCTCGTCCTGGCCGCAGTGGCGAGCACCGCAACCGGCGCTGAGCTCCGACGGAGGCCCGCCCCCAATCGCCGCGCAGCCTGCGCCGGCGGCTGGCGGGCTCCGGTGCGGCCCGGCTCTGGCAGCGTCGGCGGCACACCTCCGAGGGCCGGACCGCACATGTCCCGGACATGTCCAGGACACGTCCGTTGCACGTCCCCTAGGCACCTCCGAGGGCCGGCGGCGGAGCGGGCCGCCTGCCCGCCGAGCAAGGCGGTCGCGGGGCGGGGTGGGGCGCGCAGCAGCGAGCGCCTCCGCACGCCCACCACGCGCAAGGCGAGACGCGCCGCGTGGAGGCGCAGCCTCGTCAAGAGCCTCGTCACGCGGCGGCCTCCGCGGCGGAGAGCGCGGGCGGCTTCATGTCGGCGCGGGATCGGCGCCAAATCGACCTGATGCGCAAGGGCGGCAAGGGCGGCGCGATGCGGCTGCGGAGGTGGCGGAAGCTGGCGTAGCCGCCCTAATGGTCCGACGCGCGCAGTGACCCCTTAACCGGTGCGCACGGCCGAAGGGCGCCTGGGCCCACCGGGGGTGCCACGCTTCTCCTGAAAATGGCCTTT